ACGCATGTTGTTGGGCTTAAGTGTGACATCGCAAATCTACATTTCGAGGGGGGTTTGCTTACAGGAATTCCTGCGACTAGATTCCTATGAATTATTATTGATGGAAATCTGCCATTTGAAGACCATATTCTGACCTTAAGTGGCAAGTTGTCTGGATGCTTTGCTGTTAGGGCAATTAGGGAAGAACTGAGTTCACAAATGGCAAGGACGGTCTATTTTAGTTTGTTTGAGTCTCATCTCCGGTATAGAATACCATCCTGGGGTGTGGCTAATCAGGGTCTACTAAACATTCTTTTTATTTTACAAAAAAAGGCCGTACGATTTATTGTAAATGTACCACATAACGAATCCTGTAGATAACACTTCAAAGCTCAAAAAATTCTTACTCTACCATGTCTTTTTATTCTGAAAACATCATCCCTTATTTTTAAAAATCGTAACAGACTACAGGGTCCTATACCCAATATTTTTACCCGCCAAACTCTGAATCTGCCCTTACCACTTCCAAATAGCACATTGGTCAAAAGATCTATAATATATGAGGGCCGAAATTTTTTTAATCATCTGCCGGTTGCTTTAAGATTGGTTAATTCCATAAAAACCTTCCGGAGGCTACTGAAAAGGGAACTTTTAAGTAGGGCATTTTACAGCGTTGACGAATTCTACCGGGACTCCCTTGATATTAGTGTTTAGAGTTTAGAATTGCTTGTCAGTCTGACTTATTCTTTTTAGCGTTATTTCTAATCTTCTCTTTATTCTGTATATTGTATATGTTATTTTACTTACTTGTTTACACCTATTTTTCTAAATACTGTTTGTTTGTTTAAATGGATGTATTTCTAATATTTACACAATTTTTTTTATTTTAGGTTTAGATTTAGGAATATTTATGCTTTGTTAACAAAAATTTTTATATTTTTTTAACAATAAAGTACTTTTGAATTTGAATTTGAATAAACAAGAAACCGTGTGAAACACACGAAAATGGGACACACCGTACATAGTTTAACCCAAGAATAATGATCATAGTTCAAAAACTATTGTGTAATTGTCATTTTATAGTAAGTCAGAAACATTTTATGGCAGTTATTGATGGAAGAAGAAATGCAGCTATTTAATAGGTACCCTGTATAGTTTTTAAAAGTGATTCTATAATGGCTATGTGTTGGGGCTGTACGTCCGAAACATTAAAATCTAAAATATATACCAGGTATTATTTGAAAACAAAAAAAAGCTTTAGAGGTGAGCCACTTTTGGAAAACATCCGGTATATATATTTATTAAATTTTATTGCTAAATTTGTTAGGAAAAATCCATTGTTTCATTTTAGATTCGGTTGAATCCGGCATCACCCCAATTTGAATAATTTGATTGAATCGAGCAAAATGTAGAGAATTCGGTTAATCCATCAGCGGGTTAGTCTGTGCTCGAACATTTTATAGGACGAACCGAGCGCGTGTTACATGACAGGTCCCTTTCCGCACTTCTACCCCTCATGCTGAATAATTAGAGGCCATGGGGTCCAATCTCCATGGAAATGTAATTAAATAATTGATATTTAATTATTTTACTTTAACCAGGGGATCTAATGTCCTGAAAAAGTTCCAAAAAAGGATTGAAAATATTATTTGTTATTATACAGGGTGGCGCCTCTCATACGACGCGGAGGCTCCAAAGAGAACCGTAGTTTTTATCGAAATTACATTTTGGGAGCATATGTAGGTTAATTGAAAGCATTTTGTAAAAATATATGGAGTTATACAAGGTGTCCCCAAAAATAGTTACGCATCAAAGTTTTGTTTTTTGTACTGGTACACCCTATATATTAATTGATTGTCGGATTCTGGGGAAAAATAAAGGTTGGGGCCCAATCTCCATGGAAATGTAACCAAATAATTGATATTTACTTATTCTACACTTCCAAAGGGAACTTACTTCCAAAACACCTCGACTAATCATGCACAATTACCAAAAATTATAGAATATTACCAATAAGTTATTACAATTATTAGGCAATTATATGGAATATTCAATATTAATTTGTGATTTTAGGTAAACATAAAGAATTTATTGTAATAACATATGACAGCGTCTTTGACGTAGTGATCATCGATTGGAAATTTTAATAGTCGAGTTAGAATTAGGACTCCGATCATTTGCGATTATATTTTAACAACACATTTTCTGTGATCAACAACAGATTTAACGGTTGTACTCGACGAGCTTCAGTCTTATTTACTATCTCCAGGCTTGTTTATTGCATCTTAAGTTATTTTATTATGTTTACAATTAGATTTAAGTTATGTCATTACATCAAACGATGTTTGTTATATAGACGAAGAAAATAAATAAAAGAACATTTATTTACCGCCAGTTTCCTCATTTACACATTAAAGAACAGAAATCGATGTAAATAATGATGGACGTTTTTATGTTTAGTTAATGTAATTGGTTCTGTTAAAGAAATATTATATTGAATAAATAATACTACTGTATTATCAAATAAATAATACTTTGTATTATTTTTTCGGTATAATTTGATTATTAAAGAACTTCAAAGAGAATAATAAAGAAAGCAGTATATTAAAAAATAAAAATATTTGCCACACAAATTTTCTAATTTCTTTGCTTGTAGTTTAATTTGCGTGTTAAATTACAAAAAATATAACATTAATTTAAAGATTTTCTTTCTATTTAAAGATCTAGAAAGTACATCTAGTAAAAATCTATTAAAAAAATACTGGACTTGCAAGAGTCTTGCGCAAGACTGGACTCTGCAAAACCAAGACTACTTCTTAACTTGCATTTGCTCATAACTAGGGTTTCCAAACCCGCATCCCGAGATCCCGGTGTATGTTTATCGCTGAAATTTCGATATTAAATCCGGGATCGCAAAACTCTCGAAAAATTAAAAGCCCAATCTAAAATGATTAGACTTTATATATTTTAGTCTTTTTAAGATCATATTTTATTTATACTAAGCAGAACGTCAATATCTGATAGTTATATTTCCTTGTTTGCTATATTTTGTTTTTTTTGCAAAAATTATATTTTCCGATAGGTTTGTAGCTTCTGAATATCGGTCTTGGTAGGGCCGCGTTGAAGTGATTTGGTACCCTAGGCACCATTTATTTTGCCGCCCCCTTCAACTAATAAAAATTATAAGTAAGTAAAACGGCGTACAAGTAAAATTTGTTAATTAAAAAAATGCCCCCCTATCAGCCTGCCGCCCCCTAGGCAGCTGCCTAGGCAGCTCCTATCTTGCCTAATAGATAAAGCGGTACTGGGTCTAGGTAAAGCATCTAGCGCATTTGCCAGCTCAGAATTAGAATTTAGAGTTAGGTTCAAACCCATAATCATCGAGGATATTCGTATAATTTAATAAAATTACTGTAAATCACTATAAATAATAAATTGTTTGCAATTGAACTGTAATTTCTGTATAACTAATCCGGTAAATGATGGAGATAAACAATTGTGATTGATTAACATTTTATTTTAAGATGAAAGTTTTGTTAACAACATTCTGAGTATTCGAATAATGAATTGAATCATGACAAGACAAGTGACATATGTCCAACAAAACAGCGATTTAGAATGACAATTTGGTTATATGTATAAAATTTAGAGTGACAATTTTGATTATGGAAAAGAAACACATATTCTATGAGTTTACTGGTTGCCTAGCGATTAACATTAATTTAAAAATAAATCCCCAACATGAATAATGAACAAAACATTTAAACAAAAACAGATCATACAAAACAAATTGTTGGTTAGTAGGAGTTAATAGTAGCCAGAGATATAGATGTAGTAGTATTTTGGTTTAATGACTACAGCTACCAGGGCTATCCGGCCGGGTGATAGCTGTTAGTAAGAAGTTTCACTTCAAATATGCGCACATAGTGCACACACATTTTTTTTCCTTACTAAATATAAGAATGTGTTACTTGGTTTCGTTTATTTTATTAAAGCTCTTTTCTCATTTTCTTTTTGATAGATGTAGCTGCATTTTATTAAGTATTTCTTTAGATTAGATTTCTCATTCTGAGAGTTGATTCCAGGATCCCGGGATTATAGGTTCTTATGTAGGGATTTCAAAACGGAATCCCGATCCTGAAAATAGGAGAAGCTAGGTATTCATCATTAGTTAAAAGATCCGTCATTCAACAATATCCGTCTAAATATCCGTGAATTGAATCTTGAATCTATCAAAAACATTTAAATCAATTCAAAATTATGTTACCTTACCAAATTAACGAGTAAAAGAAAAATGATATTATATTACGGAGTAGATATAAAATGGGTTGAAAATTTTCAACATCTTTTTTGGGAGATATTTCCTACTTTAACATCCCAAGTATATTGAATTTTGATTGTCTTTGGGGACTTAATGCTCATACTTAAAAGGATATTTAAAGTGGTCAGTGAGTTGTAGACAGGTACGTCAGGTACAGAAAAGACATAGATCTCTAAACCTTCTTTAAAATCAATGGTAATTACAAAATGCAGTATGTATGTATGAGTTTTTCGGCCGAATGAATTTTTTATATTTTCCAGTATGTATTTGTTTAAGCCACCCCTCCTTCGTCCGTTATTGATTGACTCAAAATCTGGTCACTTTATTAAAACAAGAATTTCTATAAAATAATTAATTTCAGTTTCCTTCTTGATTGTTACTGTTTAGAATTTCTTAATTAGTCAATCAAAAAACTTAGACCTTCCACTTAGAACAGCTAATACCACTAATACGGAGAGCAGACTCGACGGCAATCGATACCTGGCAACCGCATCTCCGAAGTGTTCCCTTAATACTTCTTAACGTTGATACCGTCCGACGCACAACTAATTCGCCATAATTAACTTAATCATCAATTACCAGAGTCATCTTATATACGGCTCCTCGGGAAACTGTAGGCCGTATAGGACGGTGTGCGCCCTTCGAGGGGCGGTGCTTCACAGACGAAGCGGTCCGCTCAGACAGCGCTCCGCCACATCTCGCGCCGCGCCGTCCGCTAGTTATTCGGCCGCCGCAGCACGCAACACACCACACAGACAGTGATACACTGTGTGTGTCCGTAATTTACGACGAAACTTTCGTCTACTCCACAACTTTACCGAGTTATGAGAGCTTAGATCTTCTTTTCGAATAAAAATCCAAAAACCAAAAATGGATCTGAAACTTGCGGTCGCGGTCTTGTTTTGTGTCGTGTCGGTTCGCGCTACCACCAACGAAAACTTCTTGAAGATGTTCGAGGGGCAACAAACCCCCGCCGACCCGTGCTACGACGAAGATCGACCCCGACGTTGTATTCCGGATTTCGTGAACGCTGCCTTCGGTGTTCCGGTGAAGGCTTCTTCGACTTGCGGTACTCACGCTCCGGTGCATTATTGTGAAGCCTCCGAACCCGGCGCTACACCGCAATGCCACATTTGCGACGACAAACAACCAAAAAGCAGATTTTCAGCTGCACATCTAACCGATTTGAACAACCCGAATAATCTGACTTGTTGGAGAAGCGAACCTTTACCACCGGTAACCTCCATTGACGCTCCTCCGGATAACGTGACTTTAACCCTAAGTCTTGGGAAGAAATACGAACTAACATATGTAAGCTTGCAATTTTGTCCTAATACACCTAAACCTGATTCGATCGCGATATACAAGAGCATGGACTACGGGAAAACATGGCAAGCCTTCCAATTTTACTCTAGTCAATGTAAAAGAGTTTATGGTCGGCCTAATAGGGCTACCATAACTAAAGCGAACGAACAAGAAGCTAGATGCACCGACGCTCATCGATATACCGGAGGAGATTCCCTAGGTTACGGACAATCATCTCGAATCGCTTTTAGCACGTTAGAAGGAAGACCCAGCGCTTTTGATTTTGACAATTCTCCCGTTTTACAAGACTGGGTAACAGCCACGGACATCAGAGTCATCTTCAACCGTCTTCACATGCCTGTAGAGGACATTTCCGATAACCTGGACCTTTTGGTCGACGAGAAACTCTTCAGCAAGCATTTCGATGAAGAAAACCTGACTAGGGAGCCGTCAGTTCAGCTGGTGAACGAAATGCAAGCTCCGGACAACGACGCTTCTTCGGTTAACCCTAAAACCACCATGACTGTGGATATGGCTTCGAACGGAATCCACGGATACCATCAGGTGACGCACCAATACGCCGTGGCAGATTTCGCTGTGGGAGGACGATGCAAGTGTAACGGTCACGCGAGTCGGTGCGTGACGGGTCGTGACGGACAATTGGCCTGCGAGTGTAAACACAACACGGCGGGAAAGGACTGCGAGCGGTGTAAACCCTTCCATTTCGACAGGCCCTGGGGCAGAGCCACTGCCAAAGACGCGAACGAATGCATAGGTAAGAGTTGCGTTGACGGGCCCTAAAGGGCATATCGAGAAAAATATCTGGTCTCTTGTCTGGTTGCAGGGGTTCTCTTATGGAGACGTATTATTTGCGTGTGTTTAACGAGGTGAAATTTCGTGTCTTTCAATCTCTTTCGTCTGTTTTTTTTCTTTGTACAGATGGAGGAAAATGTCAGTGTTATTGACAGGGTGTATTTTGTATTTAGCTGGAAAATGGACTTAATTGATAGGGATCAAAAGGGATAATAATTGGTAGGGATAGTAAATAGATATTTTCGAAATGTAACTTTTCAACCTTCAAGGATCGATATCATCGATCATACCCGAGATAATCAATAAAAATTAAACTTACTTTCCAGGAGTTGTAGAGGGTTGAATAATTAAAGAAAGACCTTTGAATAAAAATATTAAGGAAGGGTGGTACCAACAAACTTGGCTGTCAAATGCGATGGCGGTTAATATGTATGAAATTTTGGTTTATTGGTAGACTCAGTAATTTGTTGGTTTTGTTTTACGTTATCACTAAATGTTATTAGTTATTAAAATTGTTAAAAAGTGTATTTGTAAGGTTGTAATAATTATTTAATAACAAAAATACCAGATATGCTACTCAAACATCTGAGTGAAATTGACGTATCTTAATTATAACGTATCTTTATATTTATATTTAAAAAAAATATAAAGTGAGTTAATTCTAATTGAATTTCATAATTATTGATTGGTTTACTACACGCAATGTATATTATTGTAGTTGGTTAGGTAGGTGATTTGTCTTGTAAAAGTTGTTTCCTTTTTTCTCCCGATTTTTGACCGAGAGCACGCTGCAGAACTAACCATTTTACAATCTTTTTTTATGTAATATATAATATATATATATCTTCATGCAAAAAATATAGCAAACACGGAAATATAACTAGATATTGACGTTTTACTGAGTATAAAAATAAAATATGATCTTGGAAAAACTAAAGTGTATAAAGTCGAATTATTTTAGATTGGGCATTTACATTTTTCGAGAATGTCGAAATCCCGGGATTTCAGGGATAGACATACAACGGGATCCCGGTTTGGAAACCCTAGGTGTACCTAACTCGACTTTTTTTATTTATTTAAATTTAGTTCAAATTTTATATGTTTTTCTGTCCTTCTATAACTATTTCAGTTTTTTCTCACATTGGTCTTAAAAATGATAAACGATGATAATTTTAGTAGGGTGGACGGGAGGATCACGTGTTTTTTTTTAAAACTGACAAATATGTGTCAAAAATTAATGTTGAATTTAGAAACAAGTATGTATACAATTTCGAACTTTTTATTTTATTTAGAGTTTATTTTTTCAAAATTTTAATACCAACTTTTAATTAATGACACCGATTCCGACATCTACATATAATACAATTTTAGAATTATCTAAAAGTGATATTTTCTAAAATTTTGAAATATAAAAATAAAAACTTCGAAATTAGGAATTTACTGCTGAAACTCAATTTAAAATGGTACGCATAGAAATATTTCTAATTTAACTGTAGGGAATATCCGCCATTGGGATTCAGGTGGTAGCTCTGCTGTAAAAAATATCAAGTTGCCGCCACATTTAATTATTTATTTCCTGACATTGTCATTCGTTTTGACACTTTAGTTTTGTATTACAAGTTTTTTGTTTAAATAAATAGTGTTGCGATACTTTGGCTTAAAAATGTTTACTAGCAGATCTTGCAGTCGAACATTACAAGAGAGCTTAATAGCCGTAAAAAAATCATCGCAACTTTATTAGAATATTTCGAACGGGAAAGCGGTAGTAATGACACTTTATGTTCCTTAAATGCTGTTAAGAAGGTGAGTTTTGATGATGTAAATAATTACTGTTTATATATTTATAATTAATTTATTTTTGTTCCCCAAAATATTTTGATTAAAATAAAACGAGAAAGAAAACATGTAAAAGTGGGCAACGCTGTGAATGTATATCTATTCTCTTTTTATAAACAACAAAATAATTTATAAATATTTTAACAATGCTGAAATAGCATATTTTTAAATGGCTATAATTTATTCAAAGCTTAATTAAAACTTTTAAAAATAAACCCAATCAGGCTTCGGATGTTTTATTTATTCCATGTTTTTAACGTCGACCATATAGAAATACCACTAAAATGCATTAAAATTAATTTATGCAAATTATTTTTACACGTAATTGCAAAAGATAAATAAAAATAAACGAAGGAAAGTCCACCATTTATATCAAAATCGTACAAGGTGGCACCTGCTGCGAGATGATAAATTTACACAGAATGGAAGACATGCGTTCAGAAAATTCTCAGCCAGAAAGAAAGTATTTTTACAGCAGAACCGCGGAATGTTCTTTCTTGAATGTTGCAATACGATAAATTAAAGATACATTTATCTGTTTGAGATTGTTGCCAGAGTAACTTATATTGTTTATGAATCTGTGACAAATTAAGAAATAAAAATGCCACACTGATTTGTAATTATTAGTACATACCTCTTAGGTAGTAGAACAAGTAAGAAATGCAAAAATGGGGGGGGGGGGGTAGGCAATAAAAAAAACATACGTAATATTTATATCTTTGTGGCGGGTTGATTTCTTGAAAATACTTCCTGGTTTTTTGCCACTGGAATTTTAACAGAACTTCAAACTAAAGTGTTCTTGAAAAGTTGTATTTAGATATTTTACATGGTTTTTTATTTTTTCTTTTCGTTTTTTTGCTTCTGGCGACGGCGACGCCGGCGCCGCGCCGTGCCTACGGGAGGAGATATACCTCCGGAAACGTTAAGCATTTTTTGTCGGTTAGGACAAATTTGTTTTATTAGTAAAATACCACTGACAAATTGGTATCCATTGGATCAACGCAGTGGTGTACAAAAAATAATATTTTTATTTTGTAGATTTTTTTTTCAGTGGCGAAAAAACTATCTCTCTAAAAGTTATCTTTAAAAAATAATTTAATTATTAATCGGTTTACTAGTCGTAGCCAGTTACATATATTATACAGCGTGAGTCTGAAATAAATGGAAATATTTCTAGAGGTGGTATATTTACAACATGTTGCTAACATGCCTATGAGTTTTTTTCGCCAAAAAATATATAAGAAACATAATATCTTGATGATATGGCAACACAGGTAAATTTAGAAGAAGGCAAACCCAGAAAAAATCCAATACAAAAAAAATTGGTTTGGTTTGGTACCTCAGGTACTCAGGTACTAAGTACACTCAGGTGCAAAAAAACGCAACGGAGAAAATTTCGGTTAAATTTAAACTGTTATATTTTTGTTATTTTTGGCCCTATTTTCATGATTTTTTTAGCAATCTGTATATAATTATATCAACTATAATTTGTAAACTCATTTTTTTTATAAACTTTAGTATTTGGCATATTATACAGGGTTAATCGAGGGGTTGTTTTTTATCCTAATTTTGACACATCCTGTGCAATAATTTCGTGTGTAAATTTTCCTGAAATATAATTTTGGGGTCAGAACCTTGTCTCCTGAGCATTCTGTTTTTTGGATCATGTCAATACATTCCTTGATTAATTTTTAAGAGGGAAATGAACTTGCCACCAACAATTTGCAATTTCTCCAAAAAAAAGTTTTTTTTTCATTATGACAAGGCAGCTTTTTGGTGATACTATGAACTGCCCATCATGTTCGACGTTTGGGAAATGCTTGGCAGGAGAGTTAGAGGTCGCGCAGCGTTACCAGATTCACTAAATGAACTTCGCTTGGTTCTTAAAGAACAATGGGAAAACAACGCAATAAGATATTCAGCCTCAATGACAGTATGAACAAACGTATACAGACAGTTATAGCAGCCAGGGGAGGCAATACAAAGTATTAGGGTATTTTTTACAGTTTTTTTCTGTTTGTATATTTCAGTATTACAGATGTTTTCCTTAATATTGTTATTTCTGTTATCGTTATTAATGTTTATTAAAATCAGAACTGTATCGTTAGTCTTCAATGTTTTTTTTTTATAATTTAGTATAGAGTATCCGATGCAGCGTAATATGACGTTACGACAATAGTCATCAAAACCATCTGTCTTTTTAAAAAATTACATCAAAAGTAATGATAACTGAAAAAATTGCAAATTGATCGTGATCAGTTCATTTCGCTCTTAAAAATTAACCAAAGCATGCATTGACGTGATCCAAAAAACAAAATGCTTAGGAGACATGGTTCTCACCGTAAAATTATATTTTAGGAAAATTTACACACGAAATTATTGCACAGGGTGTTTTAAAGTTAGGATAAAAAAACAACACCTCGATTAACCCTGTATAATATAATATGCCAATTACCACAATACACCAAAACACTTTTACTTTTACACTGGACGCGCGCTCAGTGAGCGAGTATATAAACGCTCAACTTGTAGATTGTACTTTAGTTTATAATCATCTGCTGATGATGCTAACATGGTTAGCGAAACGCGCGTCCAATGTAAAAGTAAAAGTGTTCTGGTGTATTGTGGTGATTTAGTGTTTTTATTTTGCTGTGTAACACCAAAGGTTCCAACCCTCAACTGTAATATGCCAATTACTAAAGTTTACAAAAAACTGAGTTGACGAATTAAAGTTGATATGATTATATACAGTTTGCTAAAACAATTCTTCCAAATAGGGCTAAAAATGACAAAAATATAACATTTTAAATTTGACCAAAATTTCTGTTGCTTTTTTTGTATCTCAGTGTATAATTTTTAATTTTCAAAGTAAAATAACTGGATTATTTTGGACCTATTTGAAAAACGGTAAAGAGAAAATATGTTTCTTTGATCGACATCAAACAGCCCCGAAAATATTTGCACTTCTTTTATTATTTTGCTGCTTTCTTTTATTACTGTCCCTGTTTTTAATATGACAACAATCAACAGTCTGCATTAGTATCTATTTTCCGACTTCTTTTCAAGATTCATAACAATCTCACACTATCACTGTAATTCAAGTTATGACACGATGTCTTTCTGGAT